TGGAAATGTAGTTGTACCTGACTTAATTTTGTAAAAAGTGTTCATTAAGGAACCTTTGGTTACCTGATAATTCATCGATTAATTGAAAAAATAATTGACAGATTAATCGATTTGCAAAATAATCGTTAGTTGCAGACCTAGTTAGCCACATAATCCAGCTATTTAATATGATGTCAAAGAAATGAAAGGTTAGAAAGAAGCATTACAACATGTGCAATCCTCATTTAATTTCTTCAAGGTTATGAACACTCAGTTTGGAAAATATACAACTATTTAGAAACTTTAAAAAGAGAAGTATCATTTAAGATGCATACTTAATATCTAGCTCTATCTATATAATTTTAATTTCAACAAGGTTCAAAGTAAACAAACACCTAATTTTGGTAAATTGGATTAGTTTTGAAGCTGTTACAGCCTGTCTGTTAGATTAAACAGGGAGTGACCAAAAATGTTTGCTTAAGCAGCTGACCCTCCACTCTGATAGAAGTCCTGCACACTCTCCCTCCTCAGATATCTGTTTCTGCTCTACTGTCTCCCTGACACACACACTCACACAGAGGGAGGCTGATAACTGTGATTCCGCTGCTGAATTTTTAACGCTGTTGTGGAACTTTTTTTTTTCCAGTCGGGTTACTGTGGCACCGGGGTACTGTTACACAGACAGAGACGGGGAGACTGGGCTCAACTCTTTTCTGTTGTTTACTGAGGCTGCACTGACCCAGACTGTGCATGGAGTGTATGGTAGGTCCACATATTTATCTGCACCAATGCATGTTTCTCTAACATTTTAAATAGTTGATGTTTTAAGCAGTTAACTCTGTGATGTCTGACAAATAATAATACTTGTAACTATTCATTGTAAAACAATCACTAATATATCAGCACCTAATATTAGTGAATATTGGCTTATGATATTTAAGCTAAAGAGATAAGAAAGTCTACTTTTAGCCTGACTTATAAAGTGCATTTTCTCTTTAGATTTCTCTGTTTATATCTGTATATGTTTTGCTGCATGTTCCGATTGGCTGTCATTTAATTAAAAAAATTGGCATTAAGCAGGTTGATGAAAAATGTCTTGTTCATCTTACTAAGTTGTCAGGGTTATGCTATTGATCATAGCATAAAGAATATCAATAGCTTCAGTTCTGCTTTCAAGAGTTTTATGTTTCGTCTTTAACTTTGCCTGGTCTAATTGGTGTTTAATATCCCTGACTGCCATTCTTGGCATCTTGAAATGCCTGAATTATTTATCTAAGTAGGTTTGTTAAAGTGTTGCTGCTATTGTTTTCCATAGCAGTTGCATTGGAAAGTTTTTCTATTTTACTTAGAACATTTTGTCATTCTGCTTGCCTGTCAAGATATTGTTTTTTTTTAGCCATTTTTAGCCATTAATGTTTTTTGAGGTAACGTTTAACTTATTTAAGTGTTTGATTTGCTGTTGAAGTTAGTTTCACCTCAAACTGGCAAAAAAAACTGCTTGTTTATTTCAAGCCAAATTCCTACTGACATTCAGAAGGCTGGAAATATTTCTGTGCCAAAAAAAGAAGGAGGGACTAAAGATGAAAAGCAGTTAAATGATAAATTCAAACTGAGTTTACTTGACATCTAACCAGGCTGACAAACTGGGCAAGTTATGAGAAAAGGTAACCTGAATTATAAACCCACAAAACACAATCGAATTTTGTCGCTTATATTAGCCATTTATGTCTCAAATGAGGTTGTAACGGTTAGAACTGGGGCAATCTATGTCAAACTTGTCCCATTTGAAGTTAATATGTGTGATACAAAAACAAAAAAATTAACAATACAGGAAAATGCTACCAGCCATGCTTCATAGAGTTGCTAATGTAAAGTTAACAATGTTTGCTTGCTTAACATAGCTTTGAATCACAGTTCACAGTTTTATTTCCAAACTTTTTGTTGTTCATTTCACTATTTTACCTGCTCTGAGTCCCTTTTATCCTAATTTAACCAGGAAACGTTTCCAATTCCCCAAAGTTAGCCAACTATGACAGGTTTTCACTGCAGTTAGACTACTTGCTAAAACATAAACCAAACAACAAACCTGAAAAACTTGAACTTGACATAATGATATATATTTCCAAACCAGGTGAAACCAAGACAACATAAATAAATGCAGTGGCGGGTGGTTCATATACCTAGGCCTTCAGCAGGCACCCCTCAACTTAATTTACGTCTCCAATGCATATGTCCGTACATTGTACGGCATTTACTTTAAAATGACAAATTGTACACCCTGTTTCTACCCTGGAAACTTTGCTCAACTGCTCAAAATGTCACAAGCAGCAGATGCTGAAGTTGGAAAAATTTAACTTTTGCTGCTTGACGTGTCACATCAACAAATCAGAGAAGCTGATCTGGGCACTGGCAGGGAGACAGACACAGCTGCTGCTGGAGATTCCCAGTTTTTTAATTTTTTAAGGCAGGATTCTAATCTTAATGAACTGACTGCACAGACCATGTTTTGAGGTGGACTTTCTCACTTAAAAACATTTTAAAACTACTTTTTAACCCACTGATCACAGGAAATATAGCAAATGCCATTGAACACAGGAGCAGCAGAAGGATCAGACGCATCTGTACACACTTTACACACCTTAATGTATACATGCATAAAAAATGAAGCAGCAGGCACCTCTTTGCTGCTCAAATCTCGGTGTGAACCTCTAGCTCTACTTTATAACCACAGCTCGGCAACATTTGCACTATTAGTAGCCGTTCAGATTCAAGATGCATGTAATTACCAGTTAAAATAGCGCATAAAGCATCAGGGATGCTGATTATTTTTGAACAAAATACATCCTTCTGTCTTTGTGCAGGAAGTCTTAGTATCTCTATTTAGTATAAGCCAGAAAAAAATTGAACAAAAGTGAATCTAAAATGCAGATTGTCGCTAGTTCAACTTAAATGTTAACATTTTGCTCTAACTGACCAATCAGAGGACAGAAAATCCTGACGTTAGGCTGAGGCCACTTGCTGGCCCAGCGGGGCAAATCTGAAATCTCATTGACTGAAGAAAACATTCCTCACAAATATTGTTAAGGTAACATCAGCAAACACTGCTGATTCTGAAGGCCCTGGGCAGATATGATTGACATGGCAACGCACTAAGGTTGAAATCTGATTGGACAAAAAATATAGCAACCACATAAAGCTACTGGAAGCAGTCCAGCTAAGAGAAACACTACAAAATTAGGAGAATAGATTGTTTGGAATAAATTAAAACAGTCGGAAAGAAGAAAAAGTTTCGTTTGTGAACTTAGGTTTATGATTTATTTTAGGCGAGCAGTGAATGCCTTGAAGGCCCTAACAGCCCACCACTGAATACATGTTTTCAGTAAATGGAGCAAGAGATTTATAGTAAAAAACTGAGACAAAAAAAAAGAAACTCAGAGAGTCTGTGGATTGATAGTAATACAAATGTTATGTTTTATTCAAATCTAGATCCATCATTTCTAACAAAGCATTCTCCAAAAAAAATAATAATCCTCAAAACTCATTGTTTGTTTTCTTCTATTTACATCACCAACATAGTTCTGAAAGTCACAAAGCAAATTCATTTCTGAAAAATGCAATATAATTATGATTAAAAAGGAATAGGGAAGACAAAAAAAGAATCACTTTAAAATAAGAAGCCAACACACTAGTTCCTCTTCCTGTTTGGATGTGACTCCATCCTGAAGAGAAGTATCAGCTATGCTGCTGCAATCAACATCTTTGTTTATAGATGTTGGAGATAAGCCTATGTTTCAGTGTAGCCCTGTTTCTCTGACTGTGACTGGCTGGATGTGCTCCCTTCATCCCCTGACATAGGAGCTGGCTCGGAGCTTATCTGTCTGGCTGTGTGTTTCCTTGATGGAGCCGCCTGTGGAGCTGTTTGACAGTTTCCTTTTGTATCTCTGCTTCTGCCTCCCTGAGCCCCAGTCAGCCTCGGCAGATGCCCCCTCACACTGAGCCTGGTTTTGCTGGAGGTTTCTTCCTGTTAAAAAGGAGCTTTTCCTCTCCACTGTCGCTACAAACACAATTAGTATGAGGGATTCCCTTCAAGTAAATGAGTCGATGCAATCAACTGGTTTTCCTTAAATAGAAAACTTTAACTCAATTTGACTATATGATCTGATGAACTGTAAAGTGCCTTGAGATGAAATGTGTTGGGAATTGGCGCTATATAAATAAACTGGATTGAATTGAACTAGTTAATTTCCTTCTTCAATTCATTAACCTGCATAACCAAACCAATGTTCATTTCCCTGTTTTTCTGATCAATCCTAGATTTTAAGGTTGTTTTGAAATAAGTTTAAAGGTCTTTGGTACAATAAATATAATGACTTTTGTATTAAATATTACATTTGAATGACAGACACAGAAAAGTACTTTGAAAGGTGTTATATGGGGGCGACAGTGGCATCAGATGTAGGAGTTTGCCCTGAACTCAAAGGGTTGACAGTTCCATCCCCAGCTCCGGCTTTCAGTGTCAATGTGTCTTTGGGGAAGACACTTCATCCGCATTGTCTTCTGATGCCGTTCATTTGCCATCCTCAGTAATTTTTACCATATCAAATAAATATAAATAGTTATTTTTCTCTTACCTTTCCACCTACCTCTCACCCATCACCCTTTTATATATTGTGTTGGTATCTGTCACTAGATGTTTGATCTGATGCAAGTTCTACTGTACATCTTATGATTACATTTTTTTTTTTAATTACACAAATGTTATTCTGCTTGCTGGATGGATGGATGGATGGACGGAAGGATGGATGGATGGATGGCGTCTCATGAAATTTAATCTAAACTAAGTGTCATATTTTTCTCCCAGTTCAACCCGGTCCTGATGCTGTTACCGTAACACTATGACCCTCAACACTCAGCGAGAGAAGGAGCCTCTGCGGCGCCGAGGTAGCACTCCAATTCCTCCGCTTTACCAGCAGCTAACTGGGACTTGGGACCTTCAAAGGTCTGTGAGCACACAGCCAGAGCGCCCTGCTCCAACTCGCAGCCACCCTCCTTTAGGGCAGTCAGCATCTTACCATCCCGGAGACAAGTCCCTCCATTACCGCGCACACTGGAGTTCTGACTCAGATGACGACTCCCAGAGTGAATCAGAGTGTGTTTACAGAGTGGTGTTGCTTGGCGACCATGGAGTCGGCAAGACCAGCCTTGCAGGAATCTTTGCCGGAATCACGGAGAAAGATGAACACCCTGGAGGTGGGATTCTGTTTGTGGAACCCTTCAATAAATTAGGTGTCAGTATACTTTCATGCTTTCACCAGTCCTTAACTTATTGCTGTTTCATTAAACAATATGTTCAATTTATTGCTCTGTGTAAACATGTCTCTGAACTCTGGTTTCCATCAGTCATGATGGGGTCCAAGGTTCTCAGCATTATTCACAGGAAATTAACCATAGAGGCCATGAAAACAATAAGCTGGTGTTTAGTTTGCAGAGCTGGGTGCATAGCTGTCTCGGTATCTTCTGGTGATTCCTACAATACATGATTGACTTGGAAATGTTTAGATCATGGCTTTATAGGGCCTCCAGAGCCTCTTGTTCTAGTGCAAACAACCATAAAAAAAAAACACCAAAAAATAAATTCTGTTAAACTGTTGAAAGTTTAAAGTGACAAACTATGAAGAGTAATAATAGACACAGGAAAAATTATTAAATTAAATAAAAATAAATGAGGTGCCATCTTTAATCATTATTAATAACTGTTGGCCAGCAATAAAATTGCGAGCATGTGTCACTGCATAGTTGCACAGTATCTTTGACTTTGTTATGGCATGGTAACCTTGACAGGCCCGACAGTATTGATCTGCTCCTGTGTCACGTGACTTTGGGCCTCTGGCTATGATTGGGAACTCATATTGATCCATTGGTTGTCTGACACACAGTGGGGATAGGGTTGATGCATTTAGTTTTCAAATTGAATTACTTGTAGGTCTTATTTTTTGCATGCGTTCTTATGTACACCTTTATGGCTGTTTTGTTTCCTTCTTTGTTTCAACAGACAATATATTGACTGAGAGGTATTTTTGGGCCTTTGTTAGAGGAATTTTCAAATTTTGTTTTTTACGTTAGTTCACATTAAAGGTTCTTGAGTTCGGTTCAAACTAAGATGTCTCAAAAAGTTTAATTCGTCAGTTTAAATAAGACCTTTTTGTCTCAGGTGACTTGAGTAATCAGAAAAATAAGTGGAATTAATTGAATTTTAGAAAAAAATCTTTTTTATCCTTAAATTATAAATAGTACAATGATATCTACTTACTGTACAATAAAATTAATAATTTTTAGGATATTTAACCCGTTATGCTGACATAATAACCCAATTTCACCTGTAGTAATTATATTTTTGCAATGGCTTAGTTCTATAAGATTCAAGAACATTAAACATGTTCTTTATTGAAGTTAACTGCTGTAAAAATCAATACAATACAGTTCAAAGTATGGTGATGAAAACCTCTAAACAGTATTTGGTGATTTAATTCCCAAACTTTACTGTTCAAGATTTCAGGACAATTAAAGAATTATGAAATGCATTGGTGTTATTTTACAAGAATTCAGGTTAAAAAAGTCTTGTTCTTTTTATTTGCTTCTTAACCTATCAGGTAGTGATTAACTTTCAGTTGAAAGGGTAGAGAAAAGAAATTAGATTTACTTTACTATGAAAAAATATGCAAAGAATCTATCTATTTTAAATGAAATGTCTGAAAATATTATATTGGTAACATTCAGTCATATAAAATAAGCTTAAACTGAAAAAACAATGTTTCTATTATTATGGAAGAAGAACTACACAGGAAATAAATAAATGAGTAGCATTAAATGCAGTATAAAAGGAAAATCTTGCTCCATGTATTTGATTGAATATTTCTCAATTCAAATAATTATTTTCCTTCAGATTTAGTTTGAATAAGATTTGATCAAAGGCTTAAAATCTCTCAATTATTGCAGTTATTTTAAGGCACCTGAAAAATGTTCTTCTAAACACTTGATAAAAAATAAATAAATACTGGTCAAATATGTATTTTGATACATTTGTGGCTCTAGAAGTAAATTTGGGTTTAAGTATACTTGTGTTTCAGGATTTTTTGTTGCATATAAAAGTGCAGCTTCATTTAATGATGTAGCTGCTTTCAGCATAGGCCCGCCACCTGCTGGTCCAGCAGTTTAAAAATGGAGAGCAAAGCCACTTCCACGTTGAAGCAAAACCAGCAACTTTGTTGCTGCATTTAGCCCCTTTTCAGACCCCTCTAATGACTTCTTTTCCAAAAAGTGGCTAGCGACAAATCTCTCTACTTTTTCCTGTCCTGGTGACAACACATGATAGCATCGATGGCTCTGAGTTTACCGTCTTTAGATAGTGAATGAGGCCCTGCCTCCTCTGAAACCCAGGGACTCCAACGCAGCAGCTGCAGCCTGTGTCTGCAGTCAGGGAACAGAGCAAGTCTCCTCGGTTTTACCATATGAATATGCGCAAAGCTTCCACTGATTCCCCCTGAATTAAAAATCTGAATGAACATATAATATTTAGCTTTTTTGTTTCTTTTTTAAGGCACAAATTGGACTTTGTGACCTAAAGAGTTGATGCATCTGAGTTATTTTAAATGATTCCTCAGGCCAATATACAGCTCTTGATACTATTAATGCTACAAGCGGGGTTGCCCTCTTGAAATACCGCCTTTTTCTCCTGTTAGCCATTCGTGGTTGTTCGGCTCTGAATCCCACTTATGGGCACCTTCCAAGAGTCAAGGATCTCTGATGAGCCAATCAGTCTCTGGTCCGCTCTTAAGCCTCTCAGAGATTCAAGTTGTCACGCTAGGGCTCAATCAGCGCGACTCCCAGCTGACTGTCACTTGCCGCCAACAAGATATTTAGCAGAAGCAAAATACGGGCAGTTTTCAAAGGCCTTAGTGGACACTCCTCCCAGCGTCTTAGGGCAGGGAAAACTCATATTTTTATATTATTTTGAGATCTAATTTTCTGCGCTTAGTTGTGTTGTTATTCATTCAAATTTATATAGGTAATTCACAAAACATTTTTCGGTGGTTTGACAAACTGAGAACTCAGGTTTATTTCTACATTACTCGATCTTTCGCAATGGAAAAAGTGCATAGAAGTTAGAAATATTTAGCAAAATGGTCAGAATCTGTATATGAATAGAAACAAAATTCAAACCCAGCATTGAAAAACATTTAACAGAATTTATTGTCTTTCGTTTTAAGCCTCTGAAGACTATCGAAGAAAGTTTAAATATAAATATTTACAATGTAAAAAAAATTAAAAGTATCAAATAAAAACATAAGAACATATATTATATATATCTTTAAAAGGCCCTAGAACTTCTCATGTTAATAAATATGTTTTTTTGCTTTCCTTCCAGGGGACATATATGAGCGCACAATGACAGTGGATGGAGAGGAAACAACACTAATATTGATGGATACTTGGGAGAGCGATAAATTGGTACGCTGATGGTGTTTGTTTGTGTTTATTTATACATATGCTTATATATGTTTGTGAAGATTAATTCATGACGACTGATTTTCACTGTATGCATTTCAGTAAGTTTAGTTCTGTTCAGGTAAAATATGAAGCATGTCAAACAAAACAATATATTTTAGGGGATCGTATACCTTCTATCAAAAGAAAATGTCACGCAAACTAATATTTAAGTTATTAAGTAAAATGATTTGCTTTTGTAATGCTAAAAACTATAAATGTCATGATCCTCAGTCTCAGCTTAGAGTTTTTATTTAGTTCATACTTTTTACACTCTTTGTGCTGTTTATTATGTTCTTTATTTTTTTTCCATGTTCTCTTATTTTTTGCCATTTGGGTTTTTGCTTTATCATTACTTTTTGATCACTACTCCAGATGTTTTTCAGATTATTTTTTGAATATTCCTTAGTTTTACTACTTAGTTTACTAATTACTAGTTAGTGCTATTGCTTTATCAGGTAACCTTTCTCTATTATTGGATAGGTTCTGTTAGCTTCTTTCTCATTTTTCCCTGTTTTATCATTTCCCCCAGCCAGAGCTATCAGGAAAAAGTTTATTACCCTCACCTTTTTCTGCTCATCTTGCCTGTTGCATTGCTGCTCTTTACACCATTTTTTATGGCATCAGTTTTCTGTCATTCTTTCACCACTTCTCTTATTCGTTTCCTGTCTTCATGCATGTATTCTGTTTTCCCTTAGGTCCTGAACATCCAACCTTGACAGTAACAAATTGTGTTGTGCTATATAAGATAAAAGCGATGCTTAACATAGTGATAGCTAAATCAAACATCCCAGTCATTTAAGAAAACTGATATACATTTCTGTAAATTATTTTCCAAAAATGATTGTTATTATTTATAAAAAAATTTTTTACAGAATTTAATTATATTGTGAAGAGGTAGTGCTATGATACTTGATTTATTTGGGTTGTAAAATAAAGTCCACTAGGTCTTATATTTAGCTCATGCCTTCTTGCATCTTATCGATGAAACAGATGCACTCCTCTTTGACATAGTAAACACTTTACATCACAATGATTACAGACTTATGCAGCAATCATTGGAACCTTGCAGATGCATTTGGGCATGTGTTCGTTTTCTAACTTTATGCTCTCCTGCAACAGGGGGCAATAACAATGTACTCATTTGTGAACAATTTGACCGATATAAAAACAAATAAAAATGCTGCATTTTTTTTCTGCCCGTGTAGTCCATGGCTTCAGCCAAATTGAGCAAATCATAGGGATATTTTAATCAAAGCACAGGTGCACCAGCGGTCGCCATGATAAGTGCAGTCCGAATTAGGCAGGGAGTAAGAAAGGAGGTAGGAAGATGACGTAGTATGTTTACTATTGATAGTTAATGCTCCTATCTCCCGCATAGGACATATACGATTGCCCACAATCCTTTGCCTGACAGCATATAAAGACACAGACCACCTATCGGAGTAAAAAAAAAAAAAAAATACACAATTTCGTGACACATGAAAATCTTTATATATGCTGGGCTTTATGATGGAGAGCTTCAGCCTCCGACTAAATTTGTCTAACTTTTGTTTATTTCAGTTCTTTTCTGGAAGGCTGTAGTCCCAATTTGACAAGCATCAACCATGTGTGCTTCCGTCGCATTATGACATCAGTAAGGCTAAAGGCTGAATTCCTGAGTGTTGACTAAATAGTGAATCGGACCCAGGAACAGGAGGAAGGAACTAAAATTTGTTTCAGAAGGAGCAGATGAGTGATAGATCTTTCAAGTGTTGGTAACAGCAAAACCTTTTTCCCTTTAACCGAACATTCTTATGTGCTCTTATGCTTATAAGTTATGGACAAATAGGATTGTTGACCCTAAATTACCCAGTACATCAGAATATTAAAATTTTTATTAAATTCTAAAATTATAAGATAATCCCACAAACTTCCAATTTCAGAGTTTTGATATTTTTCAAACAAAAAGGAAACCAAAATAGTTTATACACTGTGTGCAGAATTATTAGGCAAGTTGTACTTTTCAGGACTATTTTTATTATTGGGCCACAGTTGTTTTCTCAATCAACCCAAAAGACTCCTTAATATCAAAGTTTCATATTTTTGAAAGTTGATGTGTTTTTTTTTTTAGATTTGGCCATTTTATTCTATTTTTTTTGTCTGTGTGTACAGGTAAATATTACTGTGCAGAATTATTAGGAAGCATAATAAAAACAAATATATACCCATCTCACTTGTTTATTTTCACCAGGTAAACCAATATAACAACTCAAAATTCAGAAATAAAGATTTGCAACATTCAAAAACAAAAAACAAATCAGTGACCGATATAGCCACCTTTCTTCACCATGATGCTCAAAAGTCTTCCATCCATAGATTCTGTCAGTGTCTTGATCTGTTTGTGATCCACATTGTGTGCAGCAGCCGCCACAGCCTCCCAGACACTGTTCAGAGAGATGGACTGTTTTCCCTCCCTGCAGATCTCACATTTCATGAAGAACCACAGGTTCTCGATGGGGTTCAGATCAGGTGAACAAGTGGGCCATGTCATTTTTTTTTCTACTTTTAGACTAATTCTGGCCAGCCACACTGTGGTGTATTTTAATGCATGAGACGGAGGATCATCCTGCATTAATATCATGTTTTTCTTGAATGATGGCAACTTCCTCTTGTACCACTGTTTCAAGAAGGTGTCTTCCAGAAACTGGCAGTAGGTCTGGGAGTTGATCTTGACTCCATCATCAACCCAAAAAGGTCCCACAAGCTCATCTTTGATGATACCAGCCCATACCATTACCCCACCTCCACCTTGCTGGCGTCTGAGTCAAGAAGGAACTTGCTGCCCTTTACTGATCCATCCTCATGCCCATCCATCTGGCCAATCAAGACTCACTCTCATTTTATCAGACCGAAACACCTGGGAGAAATCAGTCTTGGCCCAATCTTGACGTTTTGTCTTGTGTGTCTTATTCAAAGTTCGCCTTTATTCAGCTTTCCTTACCTTGGCCAGGTCCCTGAGTATTGAGCACCTTGTGCTTCTTGGCACTACAGACATGTTGCAGCCCTGAAATATTGCACAACTAGTGGCTTCCTGGCAGCTTCACGCTTGATCCTTCTCAATTCATGAGGAGTTATTTTGCATCTTGTTTTTTCAACATGCTTCGTGCGCCCCTGTTGGCTATTTGCCAAAAACCGCTTGATTTTGTGATGACGCTTGATTTTCTGCTTCAAAAGCTTGGCAATTTCCAAACTGCTGCACCCCTCTGAAAGACATCTGACAATTTCTCTTTTCTGACCCATTTTGCCAAAGGAAAGAAGTAACCTAATAATTAAGCACACCTTATATAGGGTGTTGATGTCATTAGGCCACACCCCTTCTCATTACAGAGATGCACACCACTTGATTTACTTACGGTAATTGGTAGTTTGCTTTCAAGCCTACAGTATACAGCTTGGAGTAGGACAACATGTATGAAAGGGATGATGTGGTCGAAACACTCATTTGCCTTATAATTCTGCACACAGTGTATTTGTGGAGAAGCTAAGAAAAGTTTAAAACCTAAACCTTTAAACTTACAAAGAACAAATAAGGCTTTAACTACAGGTGGATGCTAAGTCTTTTTGCTGTGTTTTAAATTTGATTATAAACAGTTAATGAGTCTTCTTTTCTGTGTACTCAACTAGAAAAAGGGAGACCCAGCTTGTCATGATGACTGTCTAAAGGTGGGGAGTGCTTATGTTATTGTTTACTCCGTCACCGACCGTTCAAGTTTTGATTCAGCTGCTGAGCTCCGCATCACGCTAAGGCGAGCCCGACAAGCCGAGAATCTCCCCATCATTCTAGTAGGAAACAAGAGTGACTTGGTCCGGGCCAGAGAGGTCGCTGTGGAAGGTGGGTCAGTGTTTCATAGCTGGAGAATGTAACTGTCTGAATGTTAAAAGGGGAATGAGTTAAGACCATTTCATCGTATTTTAACGACTAAACACATTTCTTTCTTTTCTAGAGGGCCGAGCTTGTGCTGTGGTGTTTGACTGTAAATTCATTGAAACTTCGGCATCTCTGCAGCATAATGTGTCTGAGCTGTTTGAGGGGGTGGTGAGACAGATTCGTCTTCGTCGGGAAAGCACTGACTTAACAAGGCACAGAAACTCAATCTACAAACGCAAAGAGAGTCTAACAAAGAAGGCTCGCCGTTTCCTGGATCGACTGGTGGCACGAAACAACCAGCGAATGGCAGTGAAAGTGCGCTCCAAGAGCTGCCACGACTTAGCTGTTCTTTAAGACTTCAGGACTGTTATTGTGACTTCTTGAACGGTTGTGATACTGCGTACTTCAGCTATGTATCACAATCAGTGGGTCAACCTCAAACAAAGCTTTCAGTACAAATGAAATGACCAAAGGTACTCACTGTGACTACTGTAGCTGGTTCCATTGTTTTACTGTCTTGTGTCAAAATCAGTGTCACTTTACCTGCAAATGGCTATAATTTGAAGAATCCAGATGGATGTAACAGACCATAGTTGTATGGTTTAGCGTTGATACGAATGTCTGTGAATGTGTCAGTAAAGGTGATGTTATTCTTCATCATGGAGAACCTGATTTTCACTGTGTCCACTCTGTTGTTGTCTTAAGATATCTTGTTTTTAGATCAGTATGCTAAATAAATGTTTAAAAGAAAAATCATCAAATTCTTGTGGATGAAAACCTGTCTGCATTTTTAAATAGTTTGGTCTTTATGGTACAGTTTTTTGTTTACAGTTTTTTTTTTTTTTTTGGTTGACTAATTTCTTTCATCATATATCTATTTTTGAAACCTCTAATAATATGCCTATATCCTCTGGTATGCTGAGTGTCTCCCCATAAAATTTCAAGTCAATTTAGTTTATTCATATAGTGATTTCTCAACACATGTCATATTAAGGTCTTTTTCAGAGACAATTCAGTCAGACCATACAGTCAGATTTTCTATCAAGTTTTCTATCTAAGGAAAACCAGTTTATTGCATCAACGTATTGACTTTGCAGGACACTCTTTTCCTGGACGAGCATGTGGTGGTTGATATTCGATTGCGTTTTTTTTGTTGACACTTCAGCAATCCCTCACTCAACTTTAACAGGAAGAAAGCAATCAAACCAGCTTCAGTGTAAGCAGTGATTTGCTAAGGCCAATGGGGACAGATGCAGGCTGATACCCCTTTCAAACTGTTTGTAAAACCTGTTAAAACCCACAAAGAATCAGTTTTTAGTGACAGTGGGAACAGCACACTGAGACGTGTCTACCTGGGTCAAATGACTCAGCAAGTGACTCATGTTAAAATCGCCTCGGCTGATCAGCATTCAGTGGGAATGCCACACCGGCGTTGAAACACAAAATGACGTGATGACTTTGAACGTCATGAATGTACATCACAACATCGCTCCGGTCGCACGTTTAATAGCAAGCCTTAACAACTGCTTTTATTCGAAAAACATGGCACAGCTCTGGCAAGATAGAGAGATTTGTCAGCTCCTTATTATCTGCAGAAAAGAGGAGATTCGTTTACATTTATTCTTCTTAGGACGGGCAACAGAACAAAATAATAAAGAATACTCACTATGCTCTGGCTCCGGTCCAGGTTGCTCTCCATTATTTACTTCACAGATTTCCGTCGCACTGTCGAAATCAGCAACGTTCACCCTGCTTGATGCTATCATCAGACACACAAAGGTGCGGGACAGTGGCTATGCAGGTTGCCAGCAGGGGTTTAGACCCTACTTTTCGGTCAACATGGGAAAAGAGCCAAAAAACCGAGCAATAACGGGTCAACCCAGTTGTAAAAAACCTGTGTTTTAATTGTGTTAGCAGCTATACAGATGCTGATCCATCAGTCCTTTCTACATTAAAAAAGGTTAACTATCTCCACAGGAGGTTTTTTTAGTGAAGAAACAGCTAGTAGATGAGCTCTAAGACAGTTTTTCTTGTCAAAAGGGAAAAAAGAGTGCACATGCTGTTAGTCACAGTAAAAGCTGTGTAAAATATAACTAATTATGGCTAAAAATGCCTGGGCCCTTTTTTTGGACCCAGTTCAGCCCTGTGTCCAGTATAAGCTCACCGCACAACAGACTGAGTACTTTTCTGTTTTCTATGGGTTGCTACCATATTCAGAGGTTGCTACAGAAAGGCATTACAACTTGCTCACAACAATGTTTTCTCTACCCTTCTGACACACCTGGGATTAAAAGCCTGGTCCCACAAGTTATAGTCAAAGACCTATGACTTAGGGGCCATAAGGACCATAGACTGAGGATATTTGTTTGTTTAATAACTCTTGTTGCCATTATAAAAAAAGGTATAATTATATTTTTTCACCCCATCAGCTTATCAATTTTTGTACAGTTTTTGTACAGATTTTCTTTTTTTCTGTAAGCTGCAATATTTTATGCTAAAATGCACCGTATGTCGAGAAGGATCAACTAGACATATGTTGTGTGACAAATAAGAATCTTCTTACTACTATATAGTACTGAGAAGAAATAAGATACTGAATCTTAATTAATGAAATAAAGAAATAGGAGAGGAAAAGTTAGTGAAAACATTACTTTCCATTTTATCAGCATGTAAACATGTTTAGTTACTGGTGGTAGCTGAAATTGTTTTGGTTTTTATAAAAAGAAAAAGGTTTTTAAAAGTATGAAATTTATTTATTTTATAGAGTTTCTTTATAAGAATCTTCTGTTTAGGCATGTTTTGTTTTTCATTAGGTGAAGATCAAAAATTAGTCGTGAACTTAAAACAAACGCACTGTAAAAAGTCCTGTATGTTTACTGTTGCCTTGGTAATTTGCTGCCTGCTAGCCAATCTCTGCTTGAAGTGGTTGTTTGCTGCGCGGTTGCTATGATAACACAGTCTTATGCAGACACCTCTATGTGGCTGAAATAAAACAGTCCAGATGGAGGGAGATTATCTTTGGGATTTCCCTACTCTAATTCTAAGTCTGCAAAAAGAAAAAAACTTTATCTAGTCATCTGTGCATCCATAGCCTGTAGGACATTTAATGTCAACCATGACATTTAGTAAACCATATCCTAACCTAACCTAAGCTCCTTTATAGGCAAGGAATAGGTTAGAATTTAGAGGATTTTTTTATTTATGATTTGTTTGAATGCAAAAATTACCATAAAAATTCCTGTTAAGGAAAATCAATGTTATGAGATTTGTGAAGCATCATTTTGTTGCATGAAGTTTGCATTGAATGCCCAGCATGTTCTGTTCCCTTTCCTGCATCCAATAAAACAAGTTCTAAATCAATTATTATGATAAATAGCTGCCAAATATCAACATCAGATGCAAGTGTTAAATCACATCATGCATTTATTTTCTTTTTTTTTTATTATTCCCTCTTAAAATGAGTTTTCTTTGTTAACTTTATTCCATGATAGGTGAAATGTACTTTTCTTGTGTGAAAGTAAATGCACCATTATTGGTGCAAAATAAATTAATGATTTTCTTTCTTCTCTTATTTTATACTTTAAAAACATCAATATTAAGATTATGTTATTTTGTAAATAAAGAATAACAATCTGAGAGATAATGTAATATGATTTCCAGTTGGTGGGCAAAACAAAGTGTCTGTGCCTGGGGCCACAGGAAAAGCTAGCACTGCCTCTGTTCTTACCTTTTATCTGAAATTATGTTGAGGGAATTTTGCAGCAGGTTTGTCCTCAATTTCCTTGTGTAGTAGAGAGCTCTTCAGAGTGTTGCTGTTGTCATTCAGCTCAGCTCCAGTTTGTCTGAGTCCTTTTGGTGATTTCAAAAAAGGGAAATTGGAATAGAAAAATTTGATAAAACTGACCTAAAGCTTTGTATACATGTTCTCCTGTTCTGTTTCTCAATGTGATCCTTGTGATGGAAAGGAGACCTGTCCAGGATCTGGATTATCTAGCACAAAAAACCTGTGAAGTTTGTGAATTACAAAATTAAATTGGTGATTGCATTGAAATAATTTGGTAACAGTTCAAAGTTACAGCTCTTATTTACATTTTCAGAGGAATTTTATAGATTATATCTGTTGTATAGCTTTGTTAAGCTGTAACAGCTTTAATTATTTAGCCTGCAAATGTTCATGCTTTTATTGCCAAATTACATAATTTAGACTATATAAAATCTAAAAAGTATATAAAGTATATATACTTTATACTTTAAAATTAATTAATAAATTAATAAATAAGCAACTGTAGAATCACAATAATGACCAAAACTAATAACAATAAACTATAACACAAATAAAATATTTAAAAAAAAAAACATAAGGATATCACAGTTTAGAGTAAGATGCACGTTTTAAAACCAGGATTTGTTACGATATTTGGGACATGAATAGTTTGCTTTAAAAGGTAAGAACAAAACTTGGTATGTGCTCAAACAATCAGCCGTCAGAGTTCTTTACCAGTCTCGTTTGCTCTCTGATCATGCAGCTTAGTCCAACTTCTTTTTTATACAGCAAATTTGAATAATAAAGTGTCTATATTGGTCCACATTAGGTTGTGCAAAAATAACACCCTGGAAAATATTTACCAGGTAACACTGTGACAGAGTTGCAACAATAGTTGTAATTTAACACGTATTAGAGTGGTTTAACTAACACTGGTGTAAAGTGTCAAACACAGTGGTTTTAATCATTCACTTATTCCTTCTGGCCATCTACACAGTAATCAGAGCTGATCTGGGGCTCATTGACAGTCAAGGCTGCAATACTCAGACACCACCAATGCAGGAGAAGTGTCTTGCCCAAGACACAAGGACTAAGACAGACACAGCTGGAATTCAAATCACTCACCCTCTTGTTACAAGAAGAAGTTAATTGTTATCTAACCATCCATTTTCCGTCATGCTTATCCCAGCTGGGGTTGCAAGAGGTGCTGGTGCCGATCTCCAGCTGTCAATGGGCGAGAGGCGGGGTACACCTTGAACAGGTTGCCAGTCTATCGCATGGCAACACAGGGACACACAGGACAAACAACCATTCACGCACACACGCACACCTAAGGAGAATTTAGAGAAGCCAGTTAATCTAACAGTTATGTTTTTGGACAGTGAGAGGAAGCCGGAGTACCCGGAGAGAAACCAGACATGCACAGGGAGAACATGCAAACTCCATGCAGAAAGACTCTGGGTCGGGAATCAAACCCGCAACCTTCTTGCTGCAAGGCAGCAGTGCTACCCACAGTCCTTTGCAGCCTAACTGTTGTTACTGAATGTGTTGTAGGAGTTCACAGGTAGGATGGAATTGTGGAAGAAAAGGCTTAAATTTAACTCCACAGATTAGCACCAACTCTTTGGAGGAATGAACACGAAAGTGTTGAATCAACGCTGTACTTTTAGCATATGAGCCAACACTGGAAATCTAACTCATTCGATTTTGCAGTTCACATAATTGTGAGTTCAATCCTCAATAAAACTTAAAATGTTGAATTCGGTTTTCACATCTTCCTCAAAGCTGCAGAAGTTTCTCTCTAAGAGATACCGTAGATTAATTCTGTAAAAAGTTAAATAAAGTTAACTTGGTGTGAATTTACATCAAGTTGCTAACAGTCAGAGCCAGCTTTATCTCCAGCCCACATCAGACAGCAATACTGTCCCACTTTTTTACTGATCAAAATTTTTCTATCTGT